TGTATATGGTCTTATTATCATTGATTTTCAGTTTGATGAACATAGGCCAAAATATTTATTTCATAAGTGTTTCTAACAATGGTGACTGGGAAAATCATGCACAAAAACTTTGAAGAATACAAATGATGTGAACAATTTGTATAAATAATTCTGTATCTTTGGCGAATAGAGGTATGATATTTTTTTAACACATACTGCATTTAAGATGACTCATTTTGGAGAAAAAAAGGTATTTTGGAAAAGCGCATCAAAATACTTTTCTTATATATTTAGTGTGAATTGAATTATAATATTCTTAAAACAGTTTAATGTGTATTCTAACAGAACAGAATTATCTAAATGCTACTTTTTGGCAAAAAATAAAGAAAATATGACCATTTTCAAAACATTTATGAAAAATGCATCTGTAATAATATTTTGCTTATGTATAACTATGACTTCTACACTAGGTTTGAACTACGATTTTTTTGAAAATTCAATTTATCTTAAGAGTTACGATGAATTGAAATAATAACGGGTGTTTTTTTGTTAAAATCTCCACTACTTTGATGTGTTAAAATATGAATAAATCCACTTCTAAATTATATATTTCATAAATCCTAGTTCAAACCCTGTACAGAAGTCTTAGCTATATACAGGCGACATATAGAGGTATGTTTCAAAAAAGAAAAATGTTTTGAAAACACTTTTTGTGCCAAAAATTGTATTTAAATAATTTTTTTTTACCGAAATAATATTCTTGAAACAATTTCATACATATATTCTAACTCAAAAATGATACTAAATGTAATAACTTCTCGTTTATTTTCTTAATTACTTCTCAAATCAATCAATACAAACATAATCAAATCAACTCAAACAATTATCTTGATTAAATATAATTCTCTTGATTTTCAATACAATCAAACTACAATGTCCGTCATGTTAAAACACTCCCAAGAGAGAGACAATCTCTTCTTTATTACGCTAGACCACACTTGTGCGTCAATCTCTCACCGAAGGAATTACATTTCTTTCGGCCCAAAACAATTTAGCACTTCGCGTTTCCAAAACACAAGGGATTTTTTCTTCCCTGACAGCGCCGCTTGAGTTCAAAACCCTTCTCCCCTCAAAACACAGCAACCCCTCCGCAACTGCACCGATTCGCGCCAACATTCCATACCCTCCCCCCCTTAACAGTAGTCTCAGACACTACACTAAAAAAAAAAAAATATCCGAACGTAGACCCAGTAGAAAGAAATCAATCTAGTAATACCCTATTTCAGGTCCCCTGTCCAGATTTAACCATTGGGTTCTTGGGGTGGGTGCCCAGGGGCCCGGAAGGGCCAGATAAACTGGACATAATCCTTGCATGGATCCGTCAGTTCCAAGGCCCAGGGCCCGATATGAGCTCTAACTGGCACTGCAGAATCCCCAACCTTTTGTCCTTAAGTGCACTATCTAGATCAGCGATACTCAATCTGCGGCCCACCGAGCCTTTTTAAGTGGCCCGGTCCTGACCCATTGCTCCGAGAAATTCTTTTATTTAAGACAATGTATTAAAAACTTGGTGGAAATTCTTTGACAAGAAATCAAATATATCAATTTTGCTATTTTGCTTTCATTGTCGTACGACTGCAAATTGATATTATTTTGCTATTTGTAACGGTTAGTGTTAACATACAACAGTGGATTAGCGTCAATTTTATGGGTAGAACTAATTTCGAACAATCTTTCATACCTTGCAAGCGAAAAATATTCGAACGATTTGGAGGCTGACTGTTTTGTAGTGAAAGACAAACATGGAAATCAGTACTCGTTTGATTTGTCACGAAAGTGCTGCATTTAAAGAATACCAATAAACAGGAATTATTTAATGACATTTTTCCTCTTTCAAGAAGTGAAAAAAAGCTTTATTGAGTCTTCTTTGTAACAGCAACAAAGTGTTTCGTCAGTGGTAATATCACAGCGGTAACAAAGACCATCCTATGAAGTTTGTTATATTATTGGTAATCATATGAAACCGTTTACTGATGGAAAAATTGTGAAGGAGAGTTTCTTAAATTCTTTTAATTTAGTGTTAGTGACAAAAATAAAAAAATCTAAAAAATAATAATTAATAAAAGCAAAATAGGAGTTATACTATTTTGATCAATTTTTCATATTTTAAATTTCAATGTTATCTTCATTTTAAGTATTTCTACCCACCACCACCACAATTCGTTTAATCTTATGTTGCGGTCCACGTAAATGGCTTACATATGTATGTGGCCCAGCAGAAAAAAAGGTTGAGTACCCTTGATCTAGAATATCTGTTGGACGGCAAGCAACATTTATTTTTCAACGTTGGCTTATAGTTGGATAGAGTCCATAATGCGTACATATATTGTTCAAAAAATATTCAATTCCAAAAATTAAACTTAACATAGAAATATTATTGTTTTTATTCGCAATTAAGTAATGCATACAAAATCTGCGAAGTATAAGAATTTTTTATAATAAATACAACTCAAGTTTTTATCGTGATGGCACGGCGGAGGGGGTGCCATGGTGCACGAGGGCAAAGGGTTGGGAAACCCTACCCTATATTACCAATAGTTTAGCAAAATAATTCTTATTCAATCTTTCAGGATTTCTTAGAAGAGTTCAAGAAGCTTCACATTATGCACCTCCTAATTAACTTCCTAATCATGTTTTCGAAACTAAGAATACTCCAGAGTAATTTGAACAGCTTTTAGAGATTATTTTACTCGTGGCTTTCGCAAGTTATGAGGCTTTAAAAAAAAGCACCGACTGGTAAAAGAGAAACCATTCGAACAAACAAATGAACAAACGAAAGAAAACAAATTAATACAGAAAAAAACAATAACGACTCATATTTTTTTCATCGCGTCCTTAATTAAGTTTTGAATTCGATTTATTTTTGAAACATTTTTTTTAATTGGAATTGGATTTTTTATTGGAAGACGAAAGGAAACAATTATAAAAAGCGAATTTGTTTTTTTAATTTATAATTAAACTAGAGAGGATACAAATGAAATTAAAATTTCGACGACTCTTCGCATTAATTGGGAATTGATTTTTCTGTTTCTAAAATTGTAGAAAGAGAATGTTAAGAACAAGGAATTAAAATTATAAATGAATGTTTACAAAATAAAAATGAAATAAAAAAAACAAGTAATATATAAAAAAAATTGAAGTCAACGTAGCCTACTTACGTCAACAAAGAAAAATTTTATGTTAGCTACTTTTTATTAATTAGTTACAATTAATATAAATATATACTAGAGGACCCGACAGACGTTGTCCTGCACAGACATCTTAAATTCAAAACTTCCAAATTTTTATGAATAAGCTTTAACAATCTGGACCGTTTTCAGTAAAATTTGAGTAAAATTGAGTAAAATTTCAAACACTAATTACATCTGAAAGTAATAATTTAATCAACAAGCGATTTATTTCAACAAAATAATAACACGAAGTGACAAAATATTTTCTTGAAATGATTACAGCACCAACTGCCGGGACCAACGTGAATTATAATAAAAGATTTTTGAATATTCGATACTGCGATCTTAGCGTAGTCTGCCGGATCCAATGTAAAACATTCCAAGATCAACAATTTATAAATAAAAAATTAATTAAATAAACATTTCTAAACCGAATTATGAATCTAAACCATTCCCGAGTCCACTGGAACGAACAAAAACTTTCATCAAAATCGGTCCAGCCGTTTACGAGGAGTTCAGTTACATACACACGCACAGAAGAATTACATATATAAAGATTATTTAAAAAGATATTAATTAAAAACGCTAAAAAGCGTGAATCGTCTGCATTTTCGTAACAATAAAGACCGAATTTGGCCAGTTTGGCTGAAAATCAATTTTCGATGCCAACTTACGTCTTTTTCAATTCCTACTATTAGCTCACGACCTCTATACATATTTTATGTGTTTGTTTATTTATTTATTTATCTTGGTGGAATTTTCAATCGTTAATAAAATACATTTTAAAACGCTCAATTGAGCTGAAATGTAATGTACATGATTATTTTGGATGACAATACAATAATTTAATTATAATTAATAAAAATTAATTGATTAAAACTAATTATTTAAAAAATTACAAATACAGCCACGTTGGCGACTTACGTCAAAATTTGAAAATGTTTTTTTCTCACGTGTTCTCACGTTCAGTTGAAAGGAAATTTTATATACACGATTGTTTTGGATGACAATACGATACTTTAATGATAATTACTAAAAATTAATTACAACTTAATGTTGTGATTCTGTCATATGTATATACATATTTATATTAATTGCAACTATTTAATAAAAAGTAGCTAAAATAAATTTTTCTTGGTTGATCTAAGTAGGAATTGATTTAATTTTTTTTTTATATTACTTGTTTATAACAATAGCGTTGTTACAACAATGCAGGTGAATGTTGAGTTGTATTTTTGAATGATTTTAATTAATATCTTTTTAACTAATTGCGATATCGGATCGAATTGTGAATCTAAACCATTCTCGAATTTACTTGAACCCACATAAAAAATTTCATCGAAATCGGTCCAGCCGTTTAGGAGGAGTTTAGTGACATACACACGCACAGAAGATTTTTATATATAAAGATATACATATGACCAGTAGCACACACAGGAATTTTTCAAGGGGGGGTCCGGGGTCGAAAGTTCATCATTCTTGTATCATGCTCCTTTTGATTTTGTCGATTTTCGGGAACAAAACACAGTAAAAAACTAATTTTTGAATAAATAATTAGCATTAATTAATAAAATTAATCATTAATAACAAGTAATTAATTAAATTTTACGTACTATATACTTAGAATTATAATCATACTATTACGTGTGAAAATAGAAATCTATTTTCCATTTTCTTTTCTTTATAGGGTATTGGACTATTTTTTTTGTTTACTATTTATTCATGAATTAAATTTAGTTACTCTAACAAAATAGTATAGTAAAAAAGAAATAACATTCTCAGAAATTAGGCCATCCCTGGTGGGATTTGGACCCACGACCTTTGGATTAGAAGCACAACGCGCTATCCACATTGCGCTACAGGGACACAACAAACGACTTACCTTTCTACGTATGTTATTCAACTATTATTTTTGTGTGTTGCTATTTATTCATTTTTAATCACTATTTATCATTATTTTAATTAATGAATTAATATTTGAAAAAAACTGTCTTAACATTAGTGCCACTACAAGTTTAAAAAATATATATATTTGAACTTGAATGAATGAATAGAGGAAAGTATTTTATCAACGCGATTGAAAACTTAAATAACATATACCGGGTGTTTCTAAAGGTATATCGGAGTTTTAAAGCTTTATATAGTATTCATTACGCATAACATATTAGTATGACTCATACATCGAATGAAAAAGCAACTGAAACAGTTTTGTTTGCTTCCGCGTGTGCGCGAAACGTATGCTAATCCCCCCCCCTTTTCTTGCCGATCAACGAGCTAGTAGAAAAATGACGACTACCACCAAACAGAAAGCGTTTTGTGTTCTCCAGTTTGCAAAGACAAAATCTGCTGTTATTGTGCAACGAGCGTTCTATATTAAGTTCGGTTGTCAACCTCCAAACGATAATAACATTCTTAGGTGGTATCATGAGTTTGAAACAACTGGCTGTCTTTGTAAGGGGGAAAGTATGGGACGATCAAGGCTGTAACTGGTAACCAACTGTTTCTGGTTCTACCTATCTTGATGCTCTACAACAATGATTCCCAAAGTGGTCTATATAGACCTGCAAGGGGTCCACGTCCGCGAAAAAAAAATTGGGGGGTTCATGAGGTGTAAATGGAGGTCTATGATGGTGGCTCTCATTAAACCAAATCATGATTTTCAGTTTAAAAGAAAATTTAGTCAAGTGGAGACCAAATTTTATCTACTTAATACATATATTTACTAATTTTAATAAGGTTAATTTGCAGTTGAGCAAGGTGACAGCATAAATTTTATTAAAACAAGGACCATGTCCGTAATTTCGGCTTTCAAAAGACATACCTGTTATTTATCACGAATTATGGAATATCGTGAGAAAATTTTTAATTACTTTTCCTAGTGAGAAGGAGTTTCAGCGTGGTTGCCAGTTTCCGAAACAAAAAAAGAAAGGGGGGGGGGGTAATAAGATGTGGACACTACTAACCGAGGAGATTTAGGGTTAAACCTGACACGATTGATTCCAAATGCGGAAAAATTGTTATTGAAGCAACAGATTTTTCCTCCCTTTAAAGGCATTTTTTTGTTGCTCAGTTGTTTTTTGTATTAATTAAATTTTAATTTAATTTCGATTCAATTAACATATTTTTAAGTTTTAAACACTATACTTCACTTCAGTTACAAATTTAAATCGTTTAAAGTAATATCTATACCAGCTGTCAAAAAGACATTTAAATTGGTAAATTTGCAAAAATTCAATCTTAAATAAGCAGGGGTCTAGTCCAAACCGAAAATCATGGCAAGGGGTCTACGAGACAAAAAAGTTTGGGAACCTCTGCTCTACAACTATGGCTATTTCATGAATTGAAAGAAAGTGAACCAAATAACTTTATTTAATACTTTTGTGAGTACGTATTTCCACTACCAGCTGACCTTTCAGATTTAAGACACAGGATGGAAGTAGATGTTGCAAGAATTTCCTCAGATACACTAAAAAAAGTTTGAGATTAATACGCCTATCGACTTGATTTGTGCCGTGTGACGAATGGGGCTCGCATTGAGCATTTGTAAACTTGAAGGTAAAACTGTTTCAGTTACTCTTTCATTCAATGTATGAATTATACTTGTAAGTTGTTTGTAATAAATACTATAAGGCATTGAAACTCCTATATTCATTTAGAAACACCCGGTATATAAAGAGAGAGAGAGTGAGGTAATAGTAGGAATTGAATTAAAAATAAAATTGTGGGAAAATATAAACTTCAAGAACAACAAGAAAAAAAATTAAGTTCTATATTTTATTTGTTTTGAAATATTTTTGCCGCATATTTGAGTGCTAAAAATTCGCAATCGCGATTAATGAAGAAATATACATTACATGACAATTAATTGACAGAAAACATTCTTATAAAGACATTAAACACTAACTATTATAGAACGCAATTGTTAAATATTTATTTTATACTGTACTAGCCGTATATTTTATACCTTTCCGTTTCGCTGAATATTTCGTGATGTTGTATGACTGTATTGTTGTTAAGTTAATGATATTTTACTAGCATTAAGCTTTAGATTGCATTGAAAAAAACGTTCGGAACCGTGATATTGAAAATAAATGTAAATATTTTTTTTATATTTAGAGTCATTTGAATTAGAATGCATATACAATTGTTTTAAGAATATTATTACAGAAAATTATTGAAATACAATTTTTTGGCAAAAAATTAAGAATGATATACATTGAAAAAATTCTTTTTATGGAAAAACTCCTTAATAATATTTTGCGCATATATAGCTAAAATTTCGATGCGAAGCCTGAACCAAGATTTTTGAAAAATTCACATTATTTTCAGATTTTTGATCAATCGAAATAATAACCACTGTTTTTCGTTTTAATTTCACTCTTATGTATTAAGGTAAGTGTGCATCCACTTGTAAATTATATTTTTCAAAAATCCTAGTTCAGGGGCTGTACAGAAATTTCAGATGTATGTAGGCAAAATATTGCTGTCAACTTTTTCATTAAGAGGAGAATATTTTAAAAATAGGCCATTCTTTTCTCCTTTTTCGTCAAAAAAAACATTACAATTATTTTTTAATTGTAATAATATTCTTAAAGCAATATTATATGTAATTTCTAATTAAAGTGACATAAATTTTTTAAAAAAAATATTCATTTACATGCTTTTGCAAAATCTCGGTCCCGAAACTAGTCCGTATAATCCAGGGGTACACAACCTTTTTTTCTGATGGGCCGCATACATATGTTAACTATTTCGCGCGGGCCGCAACATGAGATTAAACGGGGGGTAGAAATGCTTAAGACCAAGATAACATTAGAAATATAAAATATGAAAAATTGATCAAAATATTATATAACTCCTGTTTTACTCTTATTATTATTATTATTTTATATTTGTCACTAACACTAAATTAAAAGAATTTAAGAAACTTCTTCCCAATTTATGCATCTGAGAATGGTTTCATATGATTACCAAAAAAAATAACAAACTTCTTATGATATCTTTGTTACTTCTTTGAGATTACCAGTGACGAAATACTTTGTTACTCTGTTTCAAGGAATATTCAATAAAACCTATTTATCACTTCTGTAAAGAGGAAAAATGTCATAAATAACTCAGTGTTTGTTACGACCGCATGTGCAGAGAGCGCTAGTAGTCCTCCTTGTTTACATTTCGTGCTCGTATGCTTGTAATACCGCGATTCCTCGGAGCGGACGTACTACCATCCAATAATACAAACATTTTAAAGTATACAGTCCACGCGCTTTTGCTTGAGCAGTCAAGTTGCTATACATAACTCAAAGTCTGCTCATAATCCGACAGATATTTCTTAGAATAACCACTACTATTTGAGGTTAAAATCAGAGCTATCGACTCACCCAGTTTTGTGGTCGGTGTCGAGCCTGAGCCAAAATTCAAAATGGCTCCAAAGAGCTATCAGAACTCACCGTGTTTAACAGAAGGAAAGCACATCTGCTCGGTCAGATCACACGCATTAGAAACTCCTTGAAAATGTGGAGTCACATTGAATCAAGTTGAAAGAGAGCTAAACTCGCATCAAGCTTTCTGAAGTGAAAGCAAAAATAGACAAACTCGGACCGAAGCTACGGGGTGCTTCTCGGATGAAGAGCTCATGGATTTCGAGGCCAGTTTGGACACGATGGAAGTGGACGCAGATAATTTAGAGGTGAGTCTCAATACCTTACTTGAATCTTCTAATGTGGATACCTCTGAATTATCTGAGAAAATGATTTCCGCTAATTACAATGTGAAACTGCCACCCATTAATTTACCGGAATTTTCGGGACAATATATTGATTGGCTGCAATTTAAATCCCAATTTGTATCATTAATTCATGATAACACTTGTTTATCAGACTCGCAAAAACTATATTATTTGCAATCTGCCCTGAAAGGCCATGCAAAAACAATTGCAAACAGTAAACGATTCTTACTCATCTTTATTTGAAGCTCAGAAGGTAGATACGAAAATAAAAGATTAATTGTAAATAGTCATATTGCTGAACTTTAAATCCTAACAAAATAAAATTTGAATCTGCTTTTCATCTCAGAAGTTTAATAGATTCAATTCAGAGTCATCTTAGAGCCTTAAAACAACTAGAATTAGAACCTAACGCTTTGTGTGAATCAATGTTAATTTTTGTTATAACTCAACGTCTAGATGATGAATCGCGTAAACAATATGAAATGGAATTACATTCTAATGATTTGCCTAAGTGGAATAATTTTTAGACTTTTAATAAAAAGGAGCCAAGCCTTAGAAAACGTACAAAGAAATTCTCCTCGTTGAAAAACAAGAACGAATATTCTCCAAAATTCAGATCATTTGTCGTGAAAAGCAATGGAAAAACTCGTCCGTTATGTCCTTCAGAGACACACCCAATTTTTAAGTGTAAAATGTTTCACGAGATGTCTGTTGAAGAAAGTAGCAACAAGTGAGATCCTTAAACCTATGCTTTAATTATAAAGAACTGTTTAAAACTGAACAGGAAATGTAGGGTTTGTAATGCGAACCACAATCTCTCTTTGCAAAACAAGTGTCCCCCGAGCGATAAACAGAAACCCCCTCTCCACAGAGTTCATCAGGTGTCATTTATGACCCGAGAGTAGATATAAAAATGCCGGTTCCAGGACAGAGTGGAGCGTGGAGCCTCCATAGAGCTTAACATGGGCTTGGTCCTGCTGGGACAAGTGGAGCGTGGAGCGCGGCTGACGCCTGGGGGCAGAAGAGATAAGGAAAGGCGCAATAATGGGGGTCTCCTTACCTGAAAAAAAACATTCTGCGCATGCATTATGAAAATTTGAAATGTTGGGAATTCATTGAATAGACTGTTTATTTTTCAATT